CTGAGGTCAGCTAGGAAACAAAGACTTGATTTGAAGAAGGCAGGTAGCATTAGGGTAAGCTGGGCTGGGAGTGGATGAAGCAGGAACCCTTTGAGAATCTGGGGACAGAAATTAGGGTATGGAAAGGGTTATAAAAGGGGAAGATGAGAAGGGAGGCTATCAGAGGCAGGTCCTGTTATATCTCCAAGAAACAGGAAGAAATTTCCTCTCTTTTGCTTTAAAACTGAAGACTCCAGTATTAAAACCGTGTACACACACACTCCTCTCTCTCTCACGCTTCTGAGGAAGGGGCAGTCATTAACAAGTTGGTTTCTTTAGTAAAACATGCTCTCCGTTCAAAACAAGCTTTGAAACAAGTGACTGTGAAAGGAGATTTGGTAACTTCACATCTTACATTAAGGACTGAGTATTTTGAAGCTCTGTAGCTCATTCTAACCCTCATAAAGCAATTGTTGAGTAGGCCTCATCGAGGACTGAATAGGACTCTGAACTATATTGCTTCTGAAACTCCATGTAAATGATTAACCAAGGCTTTTAATAAATACTCACACAGTTCTGCATTTTGGCAAAAAATCTGACCCTTGTTTTGTCATCTGAAAAGTCAAAAATATAAATGGAGAGTGTGAAAGGAAATCTGTTTCTTTTTGAGGAAAATCCAGTCTTATTGACCCTTCCCAGAAAATAACAGTTTGGCAAGATGACATTTGCTCCAGTTATGGAAAATTATTTTGACAACGATGGCCTTCCTATATTTCTGCTTTTAAGCACCTTAATAACTTACAAGTTTTTATTTATTTTTTTAATCAGTTTTGCCACCCTCCCACCCCCTTCCGATTTTAAATACAGTTTTGTTATCTTGGGATTGCTTATTTTAGCTTTAGAATGTACTTCTGCTAAGCCGGTTAAATACAGCTAAGATGTAAATGGGTTCGTGATGTGAAAATAGTTGTAAGAAAAAACAGAACCACATTTGGGGCCTCCCCATCTCTGTGATACATAAAATGGTTAACAGAATTCCTGATCTTGGTTAAAACCACTAGATTTAAAGACCCTGAGGTTAGCAAACTTGTTTACTGCTGTAGCATCCTAGTCTCCAATACTTGTTTTAGTGCGCCACCTACTGGTTCTACCTAAGATTGCTGTCAGTCTTGTCTAGTAGATTTTCTACAGCATATGTAGTTTATTTGGCTTCCTTTAAAATGATAGTAATATTCTCAGAGCACTGAGCTGCTCATGCATAACAAAAGCCAGCAAGTTTAGGGACCCTGATTCTTCCAGTGCTTAAGTTACTTCTCAGTTATATGGAAGGCATTTTGGGAACACCACAGTCACTCCTTTCTGATTCTAGACCAGAAATCATAGACAGAGTCAATACTAATAGCAGAAGTTCCACTAAGAGAGATTTGGGCACAGTGGGTATAGAATGTAAAATATTTTTGCAAGTAAATAAAAGCCTTTTTGTGTTATCGTGGTTTTCTTTCTAAATTTGGTTTCTTTCTAGCTTAGCTTCCCTCTCTACTTGTTTTTATCCAAAAGTTTAATTATAGGATTAATAAATTTTAAAATTGACAGACAGATGTGTATAAAGCTGCCCTACTTCCACCCTCACACCACACCCAAGAAGATTTTGTTAGTCTAGGGTGTATCATTCCCCGTCTTGTCTTTGCCTGTCTTTCATCTTCTCTGTTGTTCCATATTCTGCTACTGTCACTAAAACTACACCTAATCAGTCATTTTAGAAGCTACCCACTTGGGAACACAGTACTATTAGATGTGCAGTGGACAGTGAGTTTTGAGTCTAATGATGTTTGAATTTTGCACAGTTTTTTTTATTGTCTAGTGATAAATTATTTAGCTAGGAGTTTCAAAATGATAATATTCTGTTATTCTTTCTTCATTCATTAGCTGGAATACTTCTCTAGTGAGAAATATCCCTTCATCAACAACTTAGTTACTGAGGTACAGCTCTGAACGAATAAATGAAATACCATTACAGTTCTTTTTTAATAAAAACGAACCAGGTTTTGTTAGGACCTATGTTTTATATTAGCCCTTGGTTTTTTTTCTTAGGATTACAGGACGTATAAAACACTCGTTTCCTTAAATTCAGATAAAACATGAAAAATTAAAGAACAAAAGTGGTTAAAATAATGTCTTAAAATGATTTAAAAAAGAGTAGGCTAATGTAAAATTCATTTCTAAATGGATTCAGTAGTCTTTGCTATAGGCATTAGAAAAAGTCATTGAAGGCTTTATGAGCTTAATGGTAGAGTTAGAATTTGAACCAGAATGAACTCCGGAGCCCATCGTCTTAATTATTCTACCATGCTGCTATTACTGGTAGTAAAGGGTGCAAGGTAACACAAGCCTAGCTAGGAAGCTGTTGCGGTGGTGCAGTCGTGAAGTGACAAGGCCATATATGAGCTTGTATACAGGATGTGAGCAGCTGTTAACAATTAAACTGAATTTAGTCTGAGTTTCTTTTTAAGGGAGGAGGGACTCGACCTCTAAGGCTAGGTATGTTAGCAAAGAGGCAAATACCAGACATTGCTTCGAAAGTTGGAGCCAACAAAACAATGCTATGTGTACAGTGTGTATATCCAAAATATTGTGTGCATATTTGTTAACACAGAAATTTTTTAGAAAGCAAGGGGTTTAAAATGGTTTTTTTAAAAAATCTCATTGGATCTTCCTAAAGCCTTGTGAAGCAGGTAAGGGAGATACTGACTGCATTGTACTTGTAAAAAGATTGCCCCATGGCAGGGTGGGGATGCAGATTGCCGGCTTGAGTGTCTAGGCCAGGGCTGTTTCCTTAGACAGCTGAGAAAGTGAGTGCTTTTATTTAGAAGGATTTTCACCAAGTTACTGTCTACTGGAGTGGATGAATCTGTAAGAGTGAAATAAATTCAAGAAGCTTATGCGAGGTAGAGGTGGGGGTGGTTGGTGCGCGGCAGAGTAGGACTGCTAAATTATCTGACCTTATTGATGTAAACAGGTGATTGCACATCTTTTGTTTAAGGTCTGCTATGAAACATTGGACAACAATTCTTAGAATGATGTCCCTCTGACCAGCTGCTAGGCTCTGAACTGGTTAATAATAGATCCCAAGGCACAAAAGGGGTTTTCATCCTTCATTATGAAGCCATCCATTTTTCACTGCCTGTTAGGGTTTTGTTCTTGCTGGGATACATAAGAGGGTAGTAGCACCATTGAGTTGAGCAGCCTGGTGTCAAATTGTGTTGGCATGTTATGATACATCCTGTGATGTAGGAAAATATAATTTTGAAGTCAGGGCCTTATGTGGAGCTAATGATAATATTCACATGTTGTCAGGAGACCCAGAAGAGGCTTTCTTCAAAGAAGCAACAAAGTACAAGACTACACGGTATTACTTTTATAATTGTGTGTGAAGATTTCTTAATAGAACCCATAGAACGTGGACATAAATTACAGGATTGCCATCATAGAGGTGGGGGTGGGAAGTTGTGATACCGAAATACAGGAAGTAACCTAGAACAGGGACTTCTGCAGCTTTTTCAGATAGAACTCAGTCTAGAATGTGTTTACTTTCCCACCCAAACCAGGGTGATCTATAAAGACCTTCTCACCTCTAACCGAAGCACTGAACACATAACTGAATTTGGACAGTAAGTGCCTGAAGCAGGCTTTTGAATATCTGAGTAGTAGCTGGGCAGTGATGCAGTTGAACCTGAGAGATGCAGTTGAACATTAAGCAGACTGAATATTTTGTCCTGTGAGGAAACAGTTGCCTTGATATAGACTAGTATAGAACGCAGAAGAGAATGGAGGAATACCAATAGAACAATAGAAGTACAGACAGGACAGGATCAAGGTGAACATCTCCTTTCCATTTGGCTAAGGAGTGCCTAAATTCCCTAATGAGAAATTGAAGCGAATACCAAAACAAGCTAATATTCTTCATATGTAAAAAGTGCCTAGAAAACAATAAGGGGTAGGGGGAAGGCTCAAGACCTGAGTAGCCATTTGTCCAAAGAAGAAATACAAATGGTCAATCAAGATGGGAGTAGAGGATGTTCAACTTTAATCATTAAATCAATTTAGAATAAAAATAATTTGGGACTAACAAATTGGCAAAGCTTTTTTTTTTTTTTTAAGTGATAATATGGTAGAAATGTTGGAAGCAGGTTCTATTTTATTAATAGAAGTAATAGGAAGAACAACTTTGCTGAATGTACTTTGCATTTGATAATGCTTTGGAAAGTGTACATGCTTCTCACCCAGTAATCCCCTTATAGAAAATTTATCCTAAAAATTTAAGGATGTACAGGAGAATGCAAGTAGAGGGATGCTCATTTTTGTTGGTAATGATGAATATTTAAAAGCAACCTAAATGCCTAACAAAAAAGAGGTGAGTTAACTAAACTGACTTGTTCACATAACGGCACACTGGATTTGATAATGTGGAGTCATACTTACTGAAAAGAAACATTTTCACAATATTGTCAAATGAGAAAGTGGCTACTAAATATTATGAACACTGTGATTCCTTATAAAAAGATGATTTGGAAGGATAAAAGGAAAAATATTAATGATGGTGGTTCTAGGTTTTCTTTTTGCTTGTCTCCTCCCTACAAACCCCCCGCCACAGTTTTTCTGTAATGAAGATAAGGAAAAAGGAAAGGTGTTTAACATTCATATGTAACATGAACTTCCATATTGAGTTGCACAGCGAGCTTAAGCAAGCTTTGCTGCTTAGAAGGGCCTGTACATGTTGTTCCAGAAATGTCAGGGTTTATGTATTTGAGTTAAAAATGCTGGTTGGCTCTCCTCTGGTTATGACCATGGAGTCTGGTTTTAATTATATAAAATGGTATCTTTCATAGGTAAAGGAAACAGATTCTGGCCATTCCGGGGAGTGGGGGAGGGGTAAGGAGGGGGAGCAAGGAGTATTTTATTTTTCCTAGTTTATATTTAACATAAGCTCGGGATTTAGGTGGACACCTTGTTTTTTCTTCTAGGCTGAACAGCAGAGCACCTTAGAAAGTTCAACCAAGAGAATGCTTATGTTTGACCCAGTCCCTGTTAAGCAGGAGGCCATGGACCCTGTCTCGGTGGTAAGTGAACACCTCTCCTACTTTATCCCAAGTAATAACAACATTACCATGTGTCATGTTATTCCTTCAAGTTTCTCATTACTTGACAAGCATTTATCTGATAGGCAAACTTTTCTCAAAGTCCATGGTAGCATGCAAGGTGTACACCCTCCTCGTAATCGTGCATCCTTTAATGGGTCCTTAAGACCTGTGCCCCACATCCCCCAAGATTATGATCAGCACTGAAGTTAGGCCAGAGGAGAATCTGGCCATGACAGAATTAGGTTTACAAAAACTCTCCAGTCCTTTTGTATTTAAAAATATATTAAGGATAAAATTATTTGCTTAAAAGCCATTGACAACAGCCATATGGAGCTGTGATTGTGTGAGAGAGGACTGAAGAGAAGTGGGTAAGAGAAAGAACTTGGCAGTGAGGGTGGAATTTAGTTTTGCTTGGAAGAGTCGGGCTGGACGGGAATTGTGTTCATGGTCTTTTTCAACACCTTGCTTCTCTCTTAAGCCAGGCCACGCAAGATGCTGTTAGGTCACCAGGGGACTAGTCGTTAGGCCAGGTGTTTATTTAGGTACAACATGAGTACTGTGGAGAGGAGACCTTGGTGACAGCAGAAAGGTGTCTGACTTCAAAGCAGAGAGTGGTTGAGTAAATATTAAATAACAGGGCAACACTCCCACTCTGTCTTGTTCTTTTCTTCCGTGGGCTTGGGAAGTACTCACAAGGGGGAAACTTGGCCTGAGTTGTGTATCTGAAGGTTGGTAATGACACACTTGCAAAATTAGATCATCTTTATGTATTGGCTGTGGAGGTTCCTGCCAAAAGTGTTTATACAAGATCCATGTCTTGTATAAGGGTCACTCCAAGGCCCTTGACACCGAGTTGCCATGGATATTATTAACCCAGGGAAGTGTTTACCAGTGTCTATAATGAAAAGTAAGAGCGACTGCAAGGAAATAACATTTTATCATCCAGCATGACAACTAGAAAACTGAATGTCTGAATATAATAACTGAGCAATAAGAATTATATTCATTGAAAGACTAAGTTGACCTGTAATGTTACTAAGTGCTGTCACTGTGTTCATCAAACTGCCTCCCCACTCAAACTATTGTATGATCCTATTGGAGGAAAATGAAGGTATAAAATTTCTCCATTAATTATATCCTTAAAACATGAATGGGTTTTTAGTACCAGAGAATATGATTAATTTTATAAATGATGCAGAACCATCAATGATGCATTTTACTATCCGGTGTGCTTCCAGTGCTTTTAATCAAGCATGAAAAAAAATATGGTCAAGAGCCTAATTTAAAGCTAAAATGAAGATCCACGTTGCTAAGTTGGCATGATAATTAAGTGCAAGGAAATGCACTTAACTGGAAAAATGGAAAGTAAAATGAATTTAAAGTAACTGTTATACTTTTAATATTGTAACTTATATGAAGATAAAACACTTAGAAGTATTTTTACACTTAACGATCTTTTTCTCCTTTATGCTCCAGTTTTCAGCTTCAGCTAACACCTACAGGATTTAATTAGATAGTTTTACCAAAATTAGTGTCAGTCCTTACAATGAAGTTTTTTTTTTTAACCCCCTTAATTTAGCGAAACCTCGGTTAACTGAAGCACTTGGAGAGTAGGGTGTTGTGGTTATTTAACTTAACAGAATTAAATTTAAAACTTCTATTTCCACTCTTAAATCTTTAAATTTCATCTCCCCTGCCTTCATAGGTGGAGTGTATTGAATCTAATTTATTCTTTTTGCTTTCTAATTCAGTCTTTGATCTAATGGTTGAAGTCTTTGGCTGTTCAAATCAGTGTTCTAAGCAAGAAGGCAGTATATGTAAAATTTTTTTGTCTTAATTCCACATATGAATAAGGAATTTTCTGGTGACTTATCCCCTACCCCCTTAAAAAGAGAGCATTGCCAAAGCAATCTGCTTGTTTAGTGTTTTGCTATAGTTTACAGAAAGTGGGGGAATGTCATCTCTCTTACTGAAATATAAGAGCTCTCTGCTTTTGTTTGCATACCATTCACCGCTAAACCCGGTGCTTTGAAGCAGATGGTAAAGCTTTGGGTTTTCACGTTAAAATTTGTAAGAGTGGAGAGCAGGATAGACATCCCCTTCCCAGATCTAGGAGTCCCTGAGTGGTGCAAATAGTTAACATACTTGGCCGCTAACAAAAAGGTTGGCGGTGCCAGTCCACCCAGAGGTGCCTTGGAAGAAAGACCTGACAGTCTACGTCTTAAAAATCAGCCATTATGGAGCACACTTCTACTCTGGCACACATGGGGTCACCATGAGTCTGAATCAACTCCATGGCAACTGGTTTCTGGTGATCCACAGGTCTGTGCCTGGGATCTCTGCTACTTACTAGTCACGTGATGTTGACCACACAACCACCAGCTCTCTGAGCCTTCATTGTTTTAAATCTATAAAAGTGGAGATTTTCATTTGTAAAATTGGAGACAGCATGTGTATATAAAATGCACACGTAAAGGAATTGTTTTTACCCACACATTTCCAAAGATGGCTGAAAGTTAAAGGGTTTAATTCAAGAAGTGAGAAGGAAAACAAATTGTAAAAAAGTATTCTTTCTTATCTATTCCTTTAGAAAAATTACTTTTGAAAAAAGTGTGTTCCCTTTTTCTTCTCCTTTTTTCTTTTTTAATGAAAATTGCCACCTAACAGACCCCTTACAGATGGAGAAGTACTTAAAATCAGTAGTTGTTCTGCTCTGTTTTAGCAAAGCCTTTTCAGGACTTTTACGAGTCCAGTAGAAAGAGCACCTTCTGCTTTTGTTGCATAGAGGGGCGTGACATTTGTTGTTTCCAGAGTGCTTGCTTATAAATGAACCCTGCCTTCCTGCGCTCGGAGCCCCACCGTGGCTGGAAGATTCTTTTGACTTGCTATCACCCTGTTCCAGATGTTCATTTTTTTCACATTGATGAAGAGTGAAATAGAGACTTAATACGTATTTCACTCAGTCGGTGCACCAACATAAACTGTTAATGGAAAATTCACTAAAACTAATTCCTAATAAAAAAGAAACTATTGAAATTCCCACTTTAGTATAAAGTAGTAGAGCTTTAGGAAAGTATCCAAACCTTGTGCTTTTTTTCTCTTTCACAATCAAAATCATTTTTTTCGAGGTTCAAAAGGGTTTGGTATTATCCTTAGCCTCATTGGTAGTAAAACCTTGCTAAGAGTGTGTATTAATTCACTGCCTTCGTTCATCAAGTATTTATCGAGCACCTGTGCTAGGGGCTCAGCTAACATTTAGTGAGGGAAAACAGCAGTAAAGAGGCACTGGGGAAGTATGAACAGTTGAATACATGTCACCACGGAAGCAAAAACCCCTTTTCTTAATAACAGTTCTTTTTGATAATTAAAAACTATTACCACCCTTAATGCTTCCTGGGTAGAAGTGCTTGGCTAAAGTGCTTGGTTATTGACTGAAATGTTGGCAGTTTGAATCCATCCAAAGGCACCTTGAAAGAAAGGCCTGGTGATCTACTCCTGAAAGATTAAAAAACAAACGAGAAAACAAATGTGTTGTCATTGAATTGATTCCGGCTCCGGGCGACCACCGTTGAAAACCCTGTGGAGTATAATTCTTTTCTGGCACACATGGGATTGCCAGGAGTCAGAATCGACTCGACCCAATGGAAACTGGAATTTTTTTTTTTTTTTTTTTTAAACCACCCTTAATGGGGTGAGAGCCCTGGTGGTGCAGTGGTTAAGAGCTCGGCTGCTAACCAAAAGGTCGACAGTTTGAATCCACCAGCCGCTCTTTGGAAACCTTGTGGGGCCATTCTACTCTGTCCTGCAGGGTTGCTATGAGTCAGAATCAACTTGATGGCAAAGAGTTTGGTTTGGTTTTGGTAATGGGGTGAGGGAGGGGGAGGAGGTCCTTGATTGTGTCTGTCTTCAGACGTGTCTCTCCTTCAGGACACAGGGTTTCCTCAGGTAAGCAGTATGTGCAGGGGACATTGGATGTCCATTAATGGTTTGTTGTTGTTAGGTGCCGTCGAGTCAATTTTGACTCATAGCAACCCCGTGTGAGAGCAGAACTGCCTTATAGAGTTACCTAGGCTGTAATCTTTACAGGATCACCAGGTCTTTCTCCCGTGGAGCCACTGGGTAGATTTGAACCACTAACCTTTAGGTTAGCAGGCAGGTGCTTAAGCATTGCACCACCAGGGCTCCTTCCATCAGTGGCAGAGGTGCCTTTTCTGCTTTGTCAACACTTGCCTCTGTGTAGGATTTGGGCTGGTGCAGCGACTCTGATCTGCACTGCTTTGCTAGAGGATAGGAATGGTCTGAAACGGAGGAATGACTATTACCAGGGCGCACCCGCCCAGAGCACACACCCCAGTGAACCCTTCTCAGCCCTTACACTATGGAGAACCAGATTATTGTAAACTAATTGCAGTAGCTTGTGCCTACACCCAAATAATTAAAGTAAATGTGTCTAATATAAGGTTCTGGCAAACAGTGTTGTGAAATTTGCTAGTGAGACAGTTTGAGGGACCAATTTTGTTCACCCTTTGATGAAGCAATCTGACTAGAAATAGTTAATTATATATTCAGGGCTGTGTCCCTGTCTAAATGCACCTCCCTATGATCAGCCCTTTAGCCTTACAGTAACCCCATGTCCAAAATAGGGGATGAGGCATTCATGTGAGAGCAAACTATCAGCAAACTGTACCTAATGTTTGTAAGGCTTAGCTTTGTGTTGGGCTTTCTCTTTCTTTATGGCTTGAGAAACCTGAGCATATTATTAAATTTGCAAATCTCCCAGGTTCTTAGTTCCTAGTTTCCTTACACTCATCCTGTGATCACGAACCGATGGTATTGAAGGAAGAAGTAAGCTGCACTGAAGGCATCAGCGAAAAATCAAGGCTGCAGGAATTGACGGAATACCAACTGAGATGTTTCAACAAACGGATGCAGCGCTGGAACTGCCCACTCGTCTATGCCAAGAAATTTGGAAGACAGCTACCTGGCCAACCAACTGGAAGAGATCCATATTTGTGCCCATTCCAAAGAAAGGTGATCCA